CGCTGCCGCCGCCGTCGACGCTGATCTTTTTTTTTTGTTCTAGGCACGAGTTTGCCGAATAAGTTTTTATTTTCCGTTTTACGCTTATCGATTCACTTCCACCTGCGACACAATGTATATATATGTTACGCACAGTTCGTTGGATCACACATATTTACACTAAAGCAGCTGTGCTTTAAGAAATACTTGAAACTTGTGCTGACTTGCACTTCGAACTCAATAGATTTCACGTCGTCGTCACGGTTCGTTATTCGGCTCCACAGTTTTTTTTCCCTTCTCAAAAATTGCGGAAGCGAGCTCCACGGGCAGGCATTCGCGCGCTCGCCCACCACAAGCGTCGATCAAATGTGTGCACGGGTGTCGTTCGCTTCCGAAATCGCACAAAAAGTTGACCCCGAAAATAAAAGCTTCCTTGAACGTCACTAACTTCATTCATCGCGGTCGTGTACTCCTCCCCAAAGACCACTTAAGCCGCGAAGCTATTGCGTCGTCTGCTAGCAAGGCGAAGCCTGTTAGGAAACTTTGTTACGGGCTTTTTTCATCGCCTTATGGCACAGAGATGATAGAAAAGTCTTCATGATTAGATATTCAGAAGCCAAAAGGCTTATTACCGAGTTTCACTACAGTAACAAACAGAAACAACCGACAGCGAAACGCGTCAAACCAGAATCTTTCGCAATTCAACAGGCTTTGTGGACAAAAGGAGGCTATGCTCAAACAAGAGCATCATGCACGCGACGGTAGCTTTGGCAGGCTTGCAATCACTCGTGCTTACTTCACGAACACCGAACGACTAAACGCCTGCCAAACGTAGCATCGCTAGCATGCTGCATGTGTTTGAGGCTTGCCGCTGCTGTTTGTTCTTGTTTGCCACTCTAGTGGGACTCGGGCATAACAAAAATATTTACTCTTTATGCGAGGCTGTTTATGACTAGGATTCCAAGGATACTTCGTGGGCGTCAACAGAAACTCAGACCCCGAGTTTGAGGCAAAATAGCTTCATTCTACGCAAAAGCTTATACGTCTCATCACTTAGATATGCATTTTCAGTAGATTAGTTATCAATCGGCACCACTTTCAAGATCAGTAGACTCTCAGGTAGATAATAATAGTTTCTCAAAGATTAGCCGCGGTGCGACCCACGTAGGCCATGCCTACGCTCGCACCGCAGTCTCTTTGTCGTCGTTCCAAGCGCTTGCGTGCCTAGTTTCCTTTCCTTCCGCTTTAATGGGGTAGCGGTCCCGTCGCGCGTGTCTACTTTCCGCCGGGTGGCGTTCTTGTTAGAATTTGTGTTGGAATGCTTTAGTTTCATGAGCCACACAAATTGCGCAAATCCCACCACTCACCACCGGTCGTGTGTAGACTTGACTCTAGCTAAGAACGTGTCCAAGGTTGTAGCCGAGACGATCAATGTCTACCATTGCGACCACAAGGCCATCGTCAGACTCCCTTTCCGTTTTCCAGAGATTTTGGACTGTTTAAGAAAACAATACGGGGAAAGAGGGCGTGGTCGAGCTTATTTTTATAGCTACTGTCACTCTTCACTGCATAACAGATCGACTAGATGGTCATTCTCGAAAACTCGTTGTCAGAAGGCACTACTTGTCACATGCTTAGAGGTTTGGAAGTTCACAGCTATGTCTTTTTGACCTAAATAACTGTGCCATTGATAAACAAAATTAAAAATAAACATTACAATAAATACCGGGATAAAAAGCTGGAGAAAAAAAAAACTATCGAGAATTCGCCGGAAGTGTTGTATTCTTGCATATTCAGAGGCTCAGAACTTCGAAAGAAGTTTCTCTTACCAAAATGTGTACAGGCTAAAAGAAACACGCTCCAGGAACATGAATCGAAAAAACAAATGTTTATTTTTTAATGACGTGCTGAGCTTGAACAATATTAGATATCTTCTCGCATGAGTAAATTTATTCCTTAACGTGAAAAAACAATAAATAAATTATTTTGTATTCTGCAGATGGCAATGTTAGGTACTGTCTGTAGTGTTAATTTAAATGCAATACCTCAAACAACTTAGACGAAAAAAATACCACGTTCAGGGCATGACTACCCGTAGATACATGTTTGGGCATTTCTTCGAAACTTATCTTGAATAACAATAATCACATAATAAGACAACACTTACCTAAGCTGTACATAAATAATTCTTAAAAAGTTTAAAATCTCTACCATAATAAGCTTCGACTAAAGCGCGCTTCAAATATGGCACAAACGACAATTGCCAAAAACCCGTCGTTTTTCCTTGCTCCTTCGAGAATCTATTTCTTTAAAACCAAGCATGACTGATGATTGAAATGAATGGTATTGTTTTTCGCAAGGAATGCAACACCCCATGTAAAAATGCGAGAAAAAAAAGACGAATTTACCTCACTGTTTGAATACAAATCAAACCGCTCGCCGGTCTTTCAAAGTTCGTCGCACTTTTGACTTTTCAGGAATCGAAAGTTCGACAATTTGCGAATTCTTTAGACTAATAAGTTCAAAAATTCGAAAATTATCGAATGTTTTAAGGTAGGAAGTTCGAAAGTTCGAAAAGCTTCGAATTTTTTACTGCAAGAAGTTTGAAAGTTCGAAAATCATCGAATTTTTTGGGCTATCAAGGTCGAAAAGGTTAAAAGGCGCGAACACACAGGACTAAAAAAGAGACACGTGCAAGGTCGAAAGTTCGACAAGCATCGAATTGTGCAGCGTAATAAGGTCGAACGTTCAAAAAGGGATCGAATTTTTTAGCGTTATAAGGTCGACGGTTCGAAAAGCGTCGAACTTCTTAGTTTAACAAGTTCGAAACTTTGACTTGCGTCGATTTTACAATACGGAAAGTTCAAAAATCGAAGTATTTCGAACCTTTCGAACCGCTTGATTCGAATGTCTAAACTTCGGTTCGAAAAAAATTCGCGGCATCCCTTGTCCTCACCAGTCCAACTACTAGTAACAAAACATTGGCTGGCACCTTAATCTCCAGAGTTCAATAATGCAATAAATACATCGTTTAAGTTGCAATCCTCTAAAATTATTTCGAAGACAATAAACTGTTGTTTCCGGAAGTGAACAAGAACCTTTATTTTTATCGATTTCTCCGCTACTTTGAGCGGGGAAACTGGGTGTATAAGTCACGTGGCTTCAATTTCCACGCTGAAATTAACGGCGAAACTAAATTGGTGAATTGGTCACGTGAGCCTCAATTTTTCTGCTAGATCCAATGGGGAACTTTTATTGGTGTGTCAGGAGACGTGCCGTCAATTTCCCCGCTCAATTTAGCAGGGAAACTAAACCGTTGTATGTCGCACGTGAATTCAATTTACCTGCTAGATTCAGCGGGGAAATTTCATTGGTGTGCCACGTGTCAACAGTGCACGTGATTGCGACTTTCCCACTTAATTTAGTGGGGAAGCTAAATTTGTGTATGTCACGTGAAGTCAATTTTTCTGATACATTTAGCAGAAAATTTTATTCTTGTGCCACATGTCATCAAGACACGTGACGTGAATTTTCCTTCTTAATTTTAGCGAGGAAACCTAATTTGTGTATGGATCACGTGAAGTCAATTTTCATGCCAGATTTAGCATGGCAAATTCATTAATACGCCAAGTGTCGCAGGGGTCACGTGAGGTTAGTTTTTTCCGCTAAATTTCACGAGACATTTGAGGGTGTTTTGGTCGTTTGTCGTTTGGCATGGATTTTCCGCAAATTTTACCGGAGAACCTGAATTGGTGTATATCGGTAAAGGCAATGGTCAAGGATCCTTCCTGTCTGTTCGAGTTTAGTGCAAGATGCATTATATTTCGCAAACCCAAAGTAAGAAACATGCTCCGCCCGACTGTCGGCGCCTGCAAGGTCACTTTTCTCATGAAGATTGAATCCAGTTCGGCAGACGTGACCGCTTTTCCGCCATTACGTAGTTGGCAGGGTAAAGAAAAGGAACGTAATACTCTGGCTCTGCAAGCAGAGTCTATATAGTTACTAAAAAACGCAGTAGAGTAACTGCATATACAGTTACTCTAGCACGCAGTAGAGTAATTGTACATGCTCCGCACTCGGAGCAGAATATCGCAATGGTGCTCCCTGGCTGGCCATGTTGGATCCAAGCTCCACGATCGGCAGCGAGAACAGCAAAAACACACAAAGCAGACTATCTGATCATGTAGAAATACACTGCGGAAACTGCGGTTTAGTCCCCAATTAAAAAAAATTGCACTGTGTTGGCGCTCAATGGCGACCCTCTCTTTAGATAAATTAGAGGCAAAAATGCGAGCGACTTGACAAGTGTGTCAGCGTACCTTTCTTTTCTTTATCTGCCAAAGAACTAGACTACCTGGCGAAGTAATCAGTGCAATAAGCGATCATTTCCTGAGTATTTTTTTTATTTGTTTATACCTTTGTCTTGCTTCATAGAAACAAGTAAAATAAACTTGAGTTGATAGTAAGCTCTGTGTTTGCCTTTCTATGTGCCTTCTTTCGCACGTGTGTATGACGCGCCGTTGCTACTAATATGAACTCTGACCGACTCGCCCAAGCTTGCTTCTGAACAATGCATTAAGAAATCATCTTCATTTTATTATAATATTATTTTTCATCAGCAACAAGTTGAAATGTCATGCGACATTTTGTTAAAGGTCCCATCTTTCTACACATGTGAACACTGAGGCACACTTCGCTATAAATGTACGGATGTAAGATAGACAGAACACATTTCTTTGCTGTTTTGGTTAGTATCAATACTTCAGAATTTCCGTTAACTTTTAGTAACTTAATAACTTATAGGAACATTGCACATTTCTTATTTGGATGCATTTATTTAAATGAAGCACGTTACCTTTGACAAACGCATGAACTTAAGTTAGTTAAAATATTATTTATTTTCTTAGCGAAATGTTTTTACTGCATATAGGTGATCGATGCAATGTCTTTCTTTTATATTTCTTGAATTGTTCTAAATATCTCATTTGTATTTTCAGTCGTCTTTGCTACTGCGAACATACACGCAGTTGTGGAAGCCAAGATGCAAGCGAATCAACTATGGTGGCTGTTTGCAGCGCTGCAAGTCGGGTGGAGCGTTGTCGTACCTCCGAAGGGTAAGAAAACAAAGGGTTTGCGTGGCAGTGGCTTTTGATCCCCGGTAAACTAGAGAAAACGTATTATAAAATATTTTACTTGTGAGCATGTAAAGTGCTTGATGCACTTATGATGCAATCGATAATATCTAAAAAAAAGAATCTCTTTAACACGTACTTACATACAAAAAGGAACCATGTTAACCTTGGGAAACTATGGAAATGAACCCTAGAACAAAACTCGTAGAAATCCTGAGATATCCCTGTAGGCAATAAAGTTCGAATCGTAGGCTTTTTTGTTTTGTGGAAACTTTATAAATGCTATAATTTGAGATGGACATGTGCTTATCATGAAATATGTAGGCAATGTCCTCGCTCAGGCCTGAGAAACAGCTCACTTTATGACCTCCTACCTAGCTGCACTCAGTTTTCTTTAAAATACCGATATTGCTATAAATTTAGAGGAAGTCATTATATAAGTCAGATGAAGTTGGTTTATTCGGATTTATTTAGGTTAGATTTATTTCTTTACGTCAGCATTATGTGTTTCAGGTGAGATCAATTTATTTTAACCACTGCAGTGTATGTCCAGACAAGGAAAATCAGAGGGGTGTCAGACCTATTTTCAATTAGTTTTGTATGAGGTTGCAAAACATGTGCACAAACAAAACAAACCTTACTGTTCAAAAATACTGCTTTGTTTTTGTAAAAAAACGCGTGTTAAAATAGGTGGAACAATGATTTTGTTCTCAATTGCGCGTAGACAAAACTTCGATGCCCCCACGGGAATAAGAAATAAAACCTTTCAGCGACGTAAACATTTTCATATGTAAAGCACGCCAACTGGCATAATATGTGTAGATAAAAACCTGTTATTTTTTTTTATATTGAAAGTGTGAAAATCGTGAAAATTTTGTTTAGTTATAAAACAAACGTCTTTAATTTTTCTGAAATTCCCTCGATAAACCCTTGAAAACCGGTAATTCATAATCCAAAAGAAAATGTTGAATTGAATTGTTTTATTGAGAGTAGAGAGTAAGTATAAGGATTATTTAAATCGTAATTTCAATCAGGATTTTTGCGTGATTTTACTCAGATAAGATTTTAGATTTTGGATTTTAGAATCAGATTTTTTTTAACTTAAAAATTAATGAGCGCATTTTTACATATCAACAATTTAGAATTTGCAGCACACGACTGCCCAGCCACGACCCGGGCCGGCCCGGGCTCGAGAAAATGCGTGCTACCCGGCCGGAACCCGGCCCGAACCCGGCCCGCAGGCCCGGCCGGGCTTGGGCCTTCGGGTTGGCCTGGGCCCGCGCAGTGCTCTACTCTGGGCATCACTACACTCTGTTTCCTCTTACGATGGACTGTAGCGGATGTCACGAGCCGCCTTAACCAATAAAGCGTATCAAGTGGCGTCACTGCGGCCTCTCGAAAGCCATGTGACACTTACACGGCATTGTGTTGCTTTCATTGGTTGTAGGGTCCTCCGTGGTTCATCGTAAGGAAAGACGGAGCATTAAACTACAGTACACATAAGTCTGCTTGCGTGTAGGAATGAAAAAGCGTCCCTACACGCAGGGCATTCCTACAAGCAGTGTGCTCGCTCTTCCGCGGGCAGCGCGCCCCGCTCTTACACGGCGCAACATGGCTGAAAGCAGAGCGTAACATGCGCGTCCAAATTGTCCGATCCGACGTGCGAACTGCCGGAACGACGTTCCGAGGTGAAGGTTTTTGACGCTCTTCGGTGCTATGAGAACCCTAGCCCCCGAACGTCGTTCCGGCAGTTCGCATGTTGGATCGGACAGTTTGGTCGCGCATGTGTCTCGCGCTTAAAACATGTGAGGAAAACGAGTTCTCCCCCCCCCCCCCCCCCCCGCACCTCGCCCCCTCCGGCCAAAGCCACTTAGAGTGGAAGGCCGGGGGGCTCCGCATGTGACGTCAAGCTAGTCGGCTTTGGCAAAGCCAAACGCGCGCCGCGGAGCAGCGCTGAAGGGTAGCAATTACTCCAGTTTTTCGGCGCAAACGCGCGTTTATTGACTCGTTCGTTAAATGTCCCGAACAAAACGGTGATCACTTGTGCATGCTAAGATATTCGCGTCACTTTTCGTTCACGTGGCCACTTTTTTTTTTCTTAGATTTGTTGTTTGTTTCTACAACTTTGTCGTTGAGCTTGTGGCAAAAGTTTCTTTAGTAGAATGATTGTAGACAACTACAACACTTGCGTCAGCACGACCTCACTCTTGTGTCCTTGTTCACACACATTGAAGTAGGAGCAATCCTTGTCGACCAGCAAGTGCAGTGTGAGGTCCGCGACCAGCTGGCCTTGGTTACTCCTCGTTAAGAAGCCCGCCCGCTTGGAAATTTCCTCATCAACAACGCAGTTGTGTGCGACAGCAATGACTGTGGTCATTGCAGAGTACAGAAGGCCTCCTCTGTCAATGTCTTTAATGAGATGGTAGTACTCATGGCGGGGGGAGCTGAAATCGTGCAGTCTGTTGTAAAGGCATTTTTGCAGTTCTCGCACTTTCGCTTCTTCACCATGCGATCCCTCTTCCTAGAAGCAACTGGACGCTTCCTTCGAGCAGAACGTCGCCGCAGAAAGTCTCATCGACCCCGACGGATACGAAAAGACTTGACCGCGGCGGTAGGTTCACGTGGTTTGCGAGGACTCGTACCGCGGATGACGTCGCTTTGGGTTCCTCCGCTGGCGGAGCAGGTTTTCGTAGCTTCAGCTGATTTGCTCCGAGGTCGATGACGGCACCATACTTGCAGAGAAAGTCCATTCCGAGGATAACGTCCCTCGAACAGTCTTGCAGAACGACGAACTTGACAGGGCACGTCTCACCGTGGATCTCGACGCGAGCAGTGCATCTCCCGACCGGTCTGAGAAGGTGCCCTCCGGCGGTTCGTATTTGAGGTCCATCCCACGGCGTCGTGACTTTTCGAAAGCGGCGGGAGAGCCTCCCACTGAAGACTGAGTAGTCTGCTCTGGTGTCCACGAGTGCTGATGCGTTGTGGCCGTCGATGACGACGTTTAGGTTATTGGACACCGTTGCAGGGGCGTCGTTTCGATCTCTGGTAGCGTTCGAGTGGGGGCCCTCCGACGTTCGTAGAGGATCTTGGCGTCTGTCGTCTTCGGCAACTCAACCTTCAGGGGTTGCCGCGCCTAGCTTCCCCGGCGAGAAGCGAGGTGTGACAGGCTTTCACGTCGGGGTCGGTGCATCGGCGAAGCTGGACTCCGTGGCGACGGCGATCGGAACTCTCGGCGGGAAGCAGGCTCGGGGGACCGAGGTTGTCGCAGCTACTCGTCGATCTCCCGAGGGCGTTTACCATAACTGGGGCGCGGGTCGTTAGGGTGGAACGCGCGCAGCCCGGGTCCTCGGTAGGGGCATCGGCGGTGCGCATGGTCAGCTTCCCCACAGTGGTAATACAGCGGTCGTCGGTCGGCCGTCCTCCAGACCTCTGTCTTCCTCGGCGCCGGTTGCTCTGGGGAACGTGCGCCTGCTCTTCCTGTCGTCAGTGGTTCTGCGGCGCTGGGGCGTCAAATCCGGGTGGCGCCGTGGCTTGGCGGGGAGTATGCGGCGGGCGTCGGGCTATGGCGGCGTGGCTCAACGTCGGTTCGTCCGGTGCCATCATGGTGACGGGAACCTCTGGTCGGAGCACCCAATGCACTTCTTCTCGGACAGCCTCGGCGATGGAAAGGGTTGACGGACGACTGGCGGTTGGCAGCAACCTTCGCAGTTCCTCTCGGAGGACCTCCCGAATAATTTCCCGGGTGTCCGGCGTGCCCGGACCGTTTTCACCGTTAAGTAGCGTGGGTGCAGCGCCGCCTGATGTCGCTGGCAGTGGGAAGCGCGCGCTTGGAGGGCGCGCTCGATGTTGGTTGCCTCCATGACGAAGGCTTCGACGGTGGTTGGCGGGTTGCGAACGAAGCCTCCGAAGATGTCATCCTTCACGCCACGCGTCAAAATACGTAGCTTCTTTTTCTCGGTGACCTGAGGGTCGGCGCGGGAGCTCATACGAAACCCGTCTTCCACAAAGCTCGTAACACTTTCATTGGGGCCCTGGGTCCTTGATTTCAGCAGGTCGTCAGCCCTCTCTCTTCGGTGTTAAGTAGGCAGCGCGGCAATATTACAGCAAAAGCTCCAAGAAATGGTACCGCGAGAAGATACGGACGAGGAGTGTCGTCTACTCTCGTCGCCTGCTTTCGACGTCTGCTTCTGCACTGCCGCTAAACTGACCCCGGAGCTGGTGCAAGGTTTCGAGGAACTGGGTCTGAACTCGTTCAGAGCTGTAATGAATCGAATGCACCAGTGCAGCGGGCGTGCCACTTCCGGTTGAATTGAGTGCCCCAGTTCCTGGACTGCTGAACATCTTCAGCCAGTTGAGGCGAATCGAAGAGACCTAATATATTAACTGTTGTCCCTTCGTCAGTTTCGTCATCACATTAATAACATAAAAAGCACTTGCAACGATTCACAGTCAATCCTGTCGTAAGCTGGCTGCGAGATACGCGACACGGAGGTATCTTGGGGCACTAATGTCAACATTTGGCAAAAATGTCGCCGAAAAATCGGGCGGCCATGATTGGCCGGCGCCAAGGGCAAGTGTGGCGCCGGCCAATCAGGATCCAGATTTCTCGCCGACTCTTTCGCCAAGTGTCCAGAGTAGAGCTCCTGCTTTGCACTGCGTGCTCGCTACACTCACAGAACAAGCCGATGTTCGCCGTCTTTCTGTGCGTGCTCCTCCACCGGCTTGTCCTGTCGAGCGCAAAGAGCACGCCATGACATTTTGTCTTTTGCGCTGTTTGATACGCCCTTCGGCTCATAAAATTTACCGCGCTCGGACCAAAAGGAAATTGCGCGGTTGCTTGGGACACAGACAGCCTGTTCACACGCCGAAGACAGAAGCCGGGATTGTTTTTAAACAATGAGACAAAAACAAAAATATGGCACGGACGGATACTGCGCTGTTAAGCCTAGCAGAGATGAAGACATTAAAAAATTACTTTGCTCGCAAAGGCGAGACATAGGTGCCAGTGCCAGAGCCATTTCCTCTTTGGTGCGTCCCACGTCAAGATAGGTTATTTTCGCTCTAGGAGACAAACTATGGCTTTTTTAATGAAAATAAATCAGTCGTGGTCGACGCCCTTGGGGCTGCGGACAGAAAGAGAAGGCAACCCACAAAGATCTTTCACAGCTGGCACCCTGGAACTTGACGCAGGCCAATGGCGATATTGAATAATTATGGGGCATTGAGGCAGACCGGTACGTTCACAATGTGGCTGTGAAGCAATATTTAGGTATTCTCGTTGACTAACCTGCGTGCTAGCATCCGTGACGTGAGCGCAGAGACCGGAGCGCCTACGTCATCAACGCAGAGAGTATTGAAATGTCGCAACCTTCCCTCCTCCGAGGTCCAGTTGCACCAGAACTTTATGACCGGGGATCTCAAGTGCAGACTCGACTGTTGAAACTGCATATTGATCAAAGCAGCGGAAGATTCCTACTTTTTGAACAAAATGCTGTGTACTGACGAATCGAACTCATCCGCAACGGACATTAATGAAGTGACACCAATCCCCATTGGCTTGCGAAGGTTCGCCTCCAGTACTAGTGTCATATGTTTGGTGCGGCAAATACTACGGCACACTCATGGGCCCAGTATTTTGGACACGACTTTGACTGGGCAAAGATGCGTGAGTAAAAACCTAAAAGGGCCAGTCGATGACTTCAACTGTGATGTTCCATTGACATGCCGATACCACGTATCAGCATGCCAATGGGACATTACAGCTGCAGGGGTTCCCGCCAGCAGCTGCAGTCAAGCACAATCACGGCTAGGCCGTGCCTTTCCAGGACAATGAATTGAGCGCAACGGGCCGTGTCCTGGCCAGCAGGGTCAGCCGATCTTACCCCTCGATTTATTTATGTGGGGCTACATTAAAACCTGATCGCACTAGCGGCAACGGCGTTGCCGGTGGCCACATTGGCCTTCGTTTTCCTCGCGTTATTGTCCCGTGACAGCACAGATCCTCGCGTTCTTAAGATCGCGCGCGCGTATCCGCCGGATCTCCTGCGCTTTCGTCGTCTGCTCTTAGTTTCTTCCGTTTCAGCTCCAATCTTTAGCATATATCAGCATCGAAACCGCACTCGCTGCTTACATGGCAGGTGTCGATGATGACGTGTTTATCAGCGTGAATATGATCATCTTAGCCTGCTTGTTAATCTTAAAACTTTGCCACGCTCTCAAGGGTAGGAGATGCAGGTTCTGAGTCCGGCCGTGTTGATGCTACCAAAACACCGAAAGACAGGTCAGTGCTTTGCTGCGCCGGCTGCGCGCCGGAGATGAAGGCTACTTTCGAGAGTGTCACCAAATCAACACGACATCCGTCACAACGCGGCGACATGCGACAAGTGCCACGAAGAAACTCATCGGTTATTCCGAATTCGTCTTCGGTCATTTTCAAGCAGCTGTCCTTAGCGTCCTTATCTAGGTATCCTGGGAACGTCTTGTCATAAAAAAGGGAAGCGTCGCACAATTTCGAGGAACCGCTCCGTTGGGAAAAACATTGGGGAAAATAAGGATTGCAGACGAAACGAAATTACACTACGCTCCGCGGTTTGTCACGGATTGTCAGATCAACCGCCTCCGCCGCGGCGCACCGGCGGAGGCGGTTGATCTGACAAACCGCGTTCGGCTTTGGCTAGCAGACGGCGTTCGTAAAATTGCGTCAGCTGTTGCTGGCTTGACGCGGCGGTACCGTGCGTGCTTCTATTCATTCGGCGTTCGTTGCCATGGTAACGGCGAGGAAAGCAAACGAACTTTATGTTGCGGAAGAACGCTGCTGCGCAGTGATACCAGGTGCGTTCTAAGGCCCTTCCCGCATGCTTTTCAATGGGCGGAAGGCGAACATAAAGAGTTCAATATAAGGACTTAACGCAGAATGCTGCATTTCTCCAGCGCCCCATAATTTGACGAACCTTGCACGAAAAACATACCATTTTCTTCTTAGCCCGAGACTGAGGCAGGAAAACAAGAAAGTTTCAAAGTAGAAGAAAAATGAACAGTCGAGGACACGTCTCTAACACAGCTAACACAGCTAAGAACAAAATGGTTAACATCCACCAGCTCGCCTGCGCAATCACTACATTATCACGAAAAACATGTTTTTTTTTACCATCCCGCGTCCTGTTTTTTTCATCCGTAACATGGGTCTAAAGTATGAAACCGCCCCTCGTACTGCTGTTCTATGACGATCATCCAGATGACAGCCATTCTGATAGGCACCAGTGCGCCCTCTATTGGTCGTGAAAGTTGCGAGTACAAGGCGCGTGAGAGCGCAGTAGCGTGTTTTCCCGTAATTTGCGGGATGTACACGAAGTCTGGAAAAACAAATCACGTTAGGGGTTTCTTGACAAAAACCACTGAATGGGATATTTCTGAAAACGCTGCACAACTTTGTCATGGGAACGTTTGCTTTGATTTGAATATTTTAAAATGACATTAATTCATCTTAATTAAGTATTTTATTGGGAAAAACAACGAATAGGCTAGCTAGCGCCAAAGAGCCAAAAACCTTAATTTTTTTAGTTTTGTCATTCTCAAATGCAACAAAATATTTCTAAAACTTAGCTAAAGTTACGTGGAACACTCTACCCTGCATATCTCTTAGCACGATACATCAATAATGCATTCACTTTAACTGCAACACACTGAAGCCGGAGTTAATATTGCGAATTGTGATACGTCCCCACTCTTGCATGCCCATGTAGAGTCAAATGAATAGGAGGGCCGCCTGTTGGTGCGTCCTTGTATCTTTCAGCATTGTGGCGAGTACCCCTGAAACAAATTATTCTGTGACCACTTGCTTTTTTCACACTTGGTCTGCTACTGATGCAAGCTTGACGACCACACCTACCCTCTTAAATAATTTTGTGGCTGGTGTTTGTATTTTCATCTGCAACTGGATTAACATCGACAAAGCTATAGAGCGGTGTTAAGAAGACAAACCATTACAGCTCCTCTCTAGCTGCAAGTTTAAAGGCTTCTTTGATCACACTATTTACATGCGATGTTATAAAGAGCTGTAGTTTACGTCCCTCGTTGCAAGATTGCTCTTGTATCCGTTGTGCTTCACATTTTAATTTTTTTCAAAGATTTGTCGCGAATGTTTTTATTTGATTAAATATAAAAATCCTCCTGTTTCGGCTCCTGTGTTTTCCGCCATCGTGTTTGAAAAAATAACACTTATGATTCTAAGCATGGATGACATATTTTGACTTTCCGTTTTTTCTTTCTCTCACAGATCGTAACAATGTTTGCACTACCAATGAGTGCAAAGAAACTGGTAAAGACTTTTTTTCTAAATCGTAGTATTTTTATGTAACAATTCATTTACGCTGCATTAAGGAAAGAACGCATTTGTTCTAATTTTGAGACCTTAGAGGTTACGCTTCTGACAAGAGTAAATAAACACACCAATCGTCCATCGGGCTCGAGCAGACCTAATTGTCTACAAAGAAATATATAAATATTAGCTCCAACTTTAATCTTCAAAATCCTATAAAGACTGAAATGCATAAGATAAAAATACTTAAAATTAATTAGGCAATATCGAAAAGTCGTTTCAAGAAGCGAAAAAGCCCACCGTGGTTGTATTTTTATACAAACCGATTTTATACAAGACGTATTTTTACATAACGTATTTCGTACGTATTTCTTAAGCCTACATGCCCCTTCTAAATAACGTTGCACACTGCAACAGGGGGAGTATCAGCATGTGTTAATTGTAGCGCAATGAAATCGTTAACTTCTAAAGATTGATTGAAACTGCAAGATATTACAAGACAGTGAGAAAGTTCGAGAGATTGAGTCTCGACTTGTGATAGGAATGGATGCGATGCGTTTTTTTAAAACAGGGGAAATCACTATCAGGAGAACAGAAATACGTACCATTACTATCAATATCACATGAATTACCCAATTTGGCACTTTGCTGTCTCTTCGGTTCCAACAAGTTTTATTACTTCTAAATGTCTTAAATCTTTCGAAGTATGCGATCTTACCATCACATTCCACTCCTAGTTCAGACCATAGCTATCTTCGAATCTCTGATGTAGATAAATGACCACCAAGGAATGTTTCAGCTTATAGTACATGCGATAAAGAAGTTGGCATGTGTGTGATAGTTTTGAAAATATATATCCTGACGGGCAGGATTTCGAATCTGTTATATTCGAAAAGTGAAAGGTAAGGGATGAAAACGCATTACCTACATGCTTTCTAGAACTGTCCGAGCTATGTATACATATTGTGTCTGACGTCTCAAATAAGTTTTTAATATTATATGTCAATGCAGTTGTGAGAATGAAAAAAAAGCAGGTGCTTGAATATCTCTTTTTTACGTCTTTCAGCAACACGAATTTTGAATGGCATGAAATCTGACATCAACCCATGCGATGACTTTTATGAATTCACTTGTGGTAGTTACATCTCAAAAACTGCGATTCCACCGCAGAGGACTGCAGTCAACAGATTTGTTCAAACCATGATGAAGGTGGAAACGGAAATGGAAAGTAAGCAGAACAAAGAGTATTATCATATATTATCTAATTGTATTTCTGCTTCAAGCATTCTCAGAAATAATGCTTTCACGCTCGCTCCAATGCCTACGTTTGATTTCTTTACGTTGTAACATCCCTGTATATTATGCCTTTATGTTCTTCTGAGACAAGTAATGATAGCGTGGATATCCAAATCCTTAGGATAAATGGTAGAGCGGGAACAATGAGGTAAATAGCAATTATTTTGCTATATAACGTAACCTTTGATAATACTAATTATAAAAAAATGACCAATCAGGCTTATGCAAGTATGATTGATGCGGCACACCTTTGACACGGCCCCCATGATACACGGGAACCTTAAGAACAAGCGATTCGGGTACTCAGACCTATTCTATATTCGCTGTGTCTAAACGTACATCGGATGTACCCGGAACGTCTAAAAGTACGTCGGACGTATCTGAACCCCGGAGCCTTAAGATATATGTCGGACGTGCGCGGTACCGAGAGATGCGTCGGACGTAGCCGCAATGGGGAAGGGTGTTATCGCAGCGGGTCATAGCGTGCCTTGCTGATACCCCACTGGCAATTTTCATTCCATCTTTATTCTCATTGCTACCGTAATTAGTTCATTGTAAGCATTCCTTTCTTTACTCACCCGCGATGTTCAAGAAAAAGGGGGGAGGTTTACATTCAAGAAATGCTCCGATCTCTTGAAATTTGTGCAAGAAATATTAATTTAATATAAAAAATTCATAAGCTAAATGTCACAGAAGAAATTAAACTAACCCCGGAAAGAATCAGCCCGCTTGCCGTCAATTCTCACCTCGTAGCACGGTCAACAAGTTGCTTTTACTACGACTCGACGAGTCCTTGGTGGCTCCGTCCATTTAGCTGTATACAAACTCACGGATTTTCCCATCGAGTTTCGAATGTCGATTTTCGCATTATTGCGCGTTCCCGTACACGTTTTACGGGTCGCGGCGCCCTTGGATACAAACTCCCGCTGTCTTCTTTACCATATCACACGGTATCGCAGATGCTCTGCAGTGCCGTAGTTTCTGTTGCCTTTTGCGTACGTGTTCACTGTTCGCTTTAACTTCACTGTGTACAAAGTCCTCTTCGCACTCTGGGGGTACAGTAAAGTTCTGAACGCCTGAACAAATGGTCTGAACCACGTAAAGAAAATAGAGGCGCGCTTGCAAGTCAGACGACGGAGTTGAACGAACGGCGACGAAACAGAAACAGAACCCAGAACGCCTTACTTGTGCCTATATTCTAAACGCCTACGCGGTAGCGCAAGTGCCGTTGTGTGCCGCCATCTACCAACTGATGACGAAGCCGAGTGCTTGGGACCAAAGGGGGTGTGCTGCCGGCACGTTAAGTTGGGCATAAAACTAAAAGCGTGGATAAGACGTGCAAAGAGAAGCGGAAAGAAAACAAGCGACGTTTTGGACGCTCAGCCTTAATGGAGAGCAGACATTGCATATCCCCGATTCCTAATTTCTGGAACAGAATTGGGGTGCTTACAATATGTCCAACGTTCCTTTAGACTTCTCGTTCCGGATACGTCCAACGCACCTTTAGACTGCTCGTTCCGCGTAAGCCCGACGCACCTTTCGACGTTCCGGGTACATCCGACGTATTTTTAGACTCCGCGTTCCGGATCGGATACATCCGATGTACCTTTGGGCACAGCGTTCTTTATTAGCTCCAAGTACGTATATTTTCAAATGAATCGACCCAGGGCATGGCAGTAACAAGTTTGTGTCAGATTATGTGGCAAAAACAAAACAAAAACATTCCCTCCCGAAAATATATGTCGGCAACAGTGTCTGCTTGATGCGCGGTATACGTAAAAGGTCACGCATACATATAAGACACACTTGGTATTGGTCCCTAATGTAATTTCTAAACGCAAAGAAGGTAACACCCAAGCAAGATAGGGGATGTGATGACGGTGGTTTTTGCTGATTTCGTTTTTTGTGTGTGTTAAACATACGATAGTAGGGGAGAATAGATTATACCGTTGACAAAACACACGAAGAGTCTGGGTCCGTCCAAGGGTAGATCAGAATAACCCGGCCATTCCTGTTTCCCCGAAGAGCATTATGGGATAACCAAGACGTCTCCTGGAATTTTTCTAAAAGGAATATTATTAGACTATCAAGCATAGAACTTGCACTGCAGAAGGTCCACACGTTTAAGCTTGAGATCGTGTATTAAACAAAATAACAAAAATTGTAAATCAATGAATAATGACCATGCCAATGTTTCACACGTTACGTCTAAAAACGAGTGCCACGGACCCTACTGGCGTTGTTCGGCTAAGATTGTGGAAGCTCCAATGGGATAGGAGGGCGTCTGGTAAAGGGCGTCCGGTGGCCTCCCCCCCCCCCCCCTCCGCCCCCCCCCCCCCCCCCCCCCCCCCCCGAGCAGATAGCATTAACAGCTACGGAGGATTTAAATGCTCACTGCAGCCGCAACTCTCGAAAATTAGAAAACATACCTCGTAGCAACGGCGGGACACCCGGGGTTTTTACTTATACTATAACGTGCAGTTAGCGCGAAATACTTACCAACTTTCCCGAGAGCCTGGTTGACGGTAGGGTGGCATAAACACTGGGCGACACGTCCCAGCAGTTTCAGGTTTGAACGAAGAGCACCCACAAACGGCCTGCTCCGCCCGTCTTTCTATGTCGGTGGCCACAGCGTAATCAGGTCGGCACTAGAGTCACCGGATCTTGGAAAAGCACCACCAAGATCCCGTATGTTGGCCATTCTTTGTGAGCCGTCGCAAATTTCCGGTCACAGGTTGCTTTATAAAGACATTTCATCTATACGAATATCTGTCTATTCAAACCCCGGCAAATCAAGAGGACATCTTCCCTGCACCCCATCATGGGGCGTCGGTGCTTGTTGGCATTAAAAAATAATTTTCCTGCAATAAATTACGTTGTAAGAGATTTCTCAAAAAAGGATAATTGGTAAGTGGATTGGATACACAGTGCCAAGTACGCTTATACTGGCGAGGAGCGCTTTTAGTACGAAGAAGCTCCGGAGCGATTTTGGTGCGCTGGTTAGTACGACTTTTTTCACGCTCCGAAGATATCAAGAGGTCGAAATGTCTGTCGCCATGTCTATAAAAACCGATCAGCCAATCAGACTGTGACGTTCGGGTCTTCCGAATGTTAGTATATGTTTATGTCCGGCTAGGAGGTAGGGAAAACAATGACAGTACTTTTCCAGAATCGAGTGATTTTAAGCAGCACTATTGTGTTCAAACATGAGAACAGTTTGATCAATTCGAAGAAATTTGCTTAACAAGAGGTAGACAAGGTACCATAAGCCACAGAAAAAATGTATCTAGATCGGCTATTTATGAACGGAATGATATAAGGCCGGCGTGTATAAGGTAGTCAGAAATAATATTAAAATGTATTTACACCATCCTCCTTTCTTCAGCATTGGAGTGCTGAATTTCTTCCACTCGCAGGCCACGTGGCATTTGGCAGCGCGATGTACACCGTACTAACTAGAAGGCCGAGCTAGGCTTTTTCCAGCCTTTGAGACGTTTTTTGGCCTGCGTCCTTGAAGATTCTGAAGAATTTAGATATTTCATTTCACCCAGTGTAAATGAATATCATCACGTTTTCTTAGTAAGTGCCAGCGTGAGTTGGCGTAGAGGTATTGGGCAAAGCCTCAGCCATCGAAAAAATTTGCGTTATTTTGGCTGACTGCGAGAGCGCACAACGCGAATATGACATGAAGGTTCCTCCAGTTTTCTGATATATAATGCCAGTTTAGCATTCATACCGACAAAAGAGAAGAGCATTTGTATTCAAGAAGTAAACAATTTACATCGCTTTCTGTTTATCTAAGGTGTGTTCTTTATTAGATAACTCATGGCGCAATTATCTCTACGCCTCACCCTGTCAAGCGGTTTTGAGAAGGTGCTTTGTATTCTGCAACAATTAACTCAATGACATATCTCGTGCAACTGCTAACCTACAGCTTTGTTTTATTGCGTTTAGGTGTTATCAATACCTACAGACCACCAGGCGGGGCGCAATCGCCTCGGACAAAAATGCATTACATGTTCAAATCTTGCAAAAAACCGGGTACGTGATTATTCATTAATTTCTCTAAGTAGGGTGCACAAAACGTGTTGTAAAATATTCGTTTAGTTATAAAAACAAACTGAAAAAATCCGTGTTCGATTTGTACGAGAAACGTTTTCAGCTGTTCAACTTTCAGATTGTATCATTCAATGCCGAGATTAAGGGCTGTTGGGCTGATCCTACTTTTAATTTTTGGTTAGCGTACTTTTATTCTTAATTTAACAGGCTTGAATGTAAAGGCTCGGCAGCTCTCTACCTGTTTAAGCATTGACGAAGAACAATAAATGCGAACTCTAATCACATTTTATAAGCTGAATTTCAACGTTCAGGAACCAGTTCGGTCCCTTTTTGCAAAAATGGCCAGTTGAACTTGATAGGACAAAATACGGACACAAAAAGTGATACATTCAAATTGCTGGTAAATGTACCCTGTCCAGCTGAACACTTTCAAACAAAATTAGCCAAAATTGTTTAGCTTAAGCCTGTAACACGGTCCGTTTTTTATGGGTGGGTCCTTTGCAAGGACAGGCGCCGCATCTGCACATACATAAATGTATAAATCTTTGATGACGCCACGTAGTTACTGGGCAGAATGCCTGAAGAATTGTTCACGTTTCTTCTTTTTCTTTGATTGAACTGTGATCCAAAGAAGAAGCGCTTTCTCCAAATACTTTGACTGGATAGCGTTAATGAGCTTATGTCGCACAAAAGCCAGCATCGGTGGCTTAAGATCCGAGATTGATTGATAGGCTCATGACGTCACAGACACGTGACCTCGCGTAGAAACATAAGACAACCGAAAACGCTCACGTGAATCGTGACGTCACGCGTAGGATGAAGGTGATTAAAAACATGACATGTAATGCAAATTAAAGGTCGTCACATATCTCAAATGATTTCACTTTCTAAACCAATTGTTTTGCCTTAAAAAAACGCCTTGAAGAATTTTAGGCTGGATTCGAAACCATTCTACTCGGTTAAGCGCCAGACACACCACAGTCTAGGCCAGCACGTTGCTGTTGCTATTGTGTGTCCAGATTTTAGAGGGTTTGCTGTGCTATCGCACTTGCTTCTACACCCCTTTTCGGGTCATCGTGCTCGTATTGGAGAAGCGAGGTCGCTGGAAAGTTTTTACTCCCGTCAACGTAGAAAGCCGAACAATTCAATAATGATATGCGGTAGACGTCACCTTGAGTGATTTCTTATGGGGTTCGATCTGTATTAAAGTTCCAAAAACGAAGATACCAGCTTCGTTTTTGGAACACAAATTCATTAGCTTCAAGGGATTTACCAGACAATTTGTAACTGTAAGGCTCCTTAATGTTAGATTATGTAAGCACCAGATATATGTTGGTGTATAATACACCGACCAAATATTATTAACTTTACGTAGTGAATGATTTACACCTGTATATCAGAAATTACATCCATTTGAATATTGTTATTTGTAGCAAAAAATTCCAAATACTTTACAGGGTAGCGTCAGCCACGCTCCTTGTAAGGGAGATTAGGTAGTATAGTATTTGTATGTCATGTGAAATGCGTAACTAGCCTAATCTATTTATTTCAAAATTATTGTTAAAGTATGTACGATTTCCCTTGCGGTTACTCGCCTCGGAGTATGACAGAACGCAGCGGTTCAATAACACGCAGTCATTTATTGACGGTCATTGCCCGCGCTGCAGGCCCAAATTTTGCCCCGCCCTTTTATCAGCGGCGGAGCGCCCCTCGCATGGACGATTGCGGTTGGCTACCGCGCGGTGTAAATGGGCAGAGACAATTTAACATCCGGGAAACCTAGTAAAACGCTTTGGTCCAACGGCTTGCTCGGGAGTATTCCATTCAAAACTTCGGGCAACCTCGGTACAATGATGCCTCTATAGCACATAATTGTAGTTGCGAAAACCTAGATTACTAATGACATTTTGTTTTCGTTTGTTGACAACCAACAAACTTGCCTGCGTTTCATCCTCTGGGTGCACTATAGATTTATTTCTTACTCGGTTGCACTGGCATTCACATTACAGAATTTGATTTAAATGCCCCAGATACAGACACGTGGCCTAACAATATGAAACAAGCAATATTCAAAAGCTAACCTGTAACTTTGGTGTCCCATGGATGTTTCTTGCAGATACAACGGAAGCGATTGAGATCAAGAACCTTAAAGCGGTTCTTAAAGACAGTGGTTTCGCATCGTGGCCCAAGGTTGTTTCGACCGCCTCCCCACCTAGAAATCAATATAATGTGATTAATGAACAAGGTTGGAATGGACTGTTTGGAATTTTTGTGGAAGAAAATTATTTCAACCCTGGTACCCATACAATATTTGTAAGTAACTGTGCCCTCTTAAATTTCCCTTCAGCCGCCTCGGTGGCTCCGAGGCGAGAGCGCCGGCCTACGGTGGCGGGTTCGAATCCCGACCAAGGTGCCCGCAATATGACGGAGGCTTATTACGGAGAAGGCGCCGTGTAACCGAGCTTTCGGTTGCACGTTGAAAGATCCCCAGGTGGTCGAAATTAATCCTCAGTCCTCTGCTGGGGCAAGCCAGATGCCCGTCGTAGGTTTGGCACGTAAAACCCCCAAATTTGATTTTTTTACTTTGAATTTTCCTTGAATGAAAAATTATATTGTTACGCCAAAACAGCAGCTTGGTCGAGTTGGTTGGGCATATTGCTGACTTCAAAGCGCACAAATGTCACTCATACACTCTAGTGTTTTTACAAACACACAGCATACCCACTCCATTGAACTCACACCTCTATTTCTTTTATTTTATCTTTTGTTGTCTTTTTCGTTTGTTAATCCAGTGCACACAAATTGTCCGCAAATATCTCATTGTGGTCAATATACAAAACCCACCACACAGCGTTTTCGCAACTACGTGTCGCCAGGTAAACTAACTCTTTTTTTTTTGACAACATGGACAGAGTACTGACGTATTTATTGTCAAGCCTAGCAATATCTTCGGCATCAATGAATTTTCTTGTTATTTGATTACTCTGCTTGCTTAGGATGGTGCAACTTGCAGAATGGCCGCACACACGCGATTCTAGCATTGTATGCCTACTGATCCGATAAAACAAAAAACAAAAAAAAACTTTTACGATTTTTGAGGTATGTAAACATTAAGTCAACAACAAGCATTTCTTCTTCAATGGAATGACAAATCTGCCGAAGGTATCGTGGGTGCAGCTTTACGACTACCTATTAGAGCCGTACATTCGTATACCTGAACACGACTTAAAACTTTCAAGTCTTTAAAGGCTTTAAACTTCATCGTGAACAGCAAAGCATCCGCGGTATACATCTACCTTTCCCAAGCACAGAAGGTACACGCCGAGCTTCGCCGCGGGGGTGCCGAGTCGGACCTGAGCTTAGCTGACAATCTCCCGAATGCTTTTGGTATACTTCCTTCAGTACGAACGCGGGTCTCTGTAATGTACACTTTTCTGTATTGCTCCGAGAATTGCTCGCCCCTATATTCAAGGTTTCTTTCCCAGAACTTCGCGTCGCCTTGCATTTGAACGTGAAGTAATGGCCTGGTTTCCAATTAGTGCTGTACGGAGATGGTCGATAGAGTTACCGCCTCGCCACATCCTTTGCTTTCTGATGTTACGCCATCTGTCGGCAGCACATCGAAGAAGGCGAGCACCGTCGTTGCCGTCCTGGCCGTCCTGCGATCACCCAAACTCGGCGGCGTCGGCGGCGTCTCTCCTCTTATCTGTCGAGAAACTTCACTTGTGACCATTTGTTAGAGCTGGCGCGCACTACCAACTTAAAAGCACGATACTGGGGAATTTCTAGAAGCGCATGACTCTCACGCAATTGCTCGCCAGAGCACCACGTGTCGTCGCGCACTCACCCAAACACAAGGTAAACTTAGGAGAACCAGAAGTATTTTTATGCACTGTCATGGCGGCCGGAAATGGTGCCCACACAATGCAAATCAAGGGTTTAGCAAAGAATATCAAACATCTCTCTTTCCGGGAACAAGACTGCCAGCCACAGGGAGGTCAAGGGTTAGATAAAATATACGAATCAGGTGAAAATTAACTCAAATATTCGAATCTACTTTTTAAATACTGAAAATAAACACATTGGTCCAATTATAATTCTTTCAATTATTATCGAGAGCCACCAAATCGACTCGTTTTATGAAGATTTAATGCAGTTATAGTCTTTTACTGCTTAAACAATGCTCCAATTGGAAGCGTTTCTAGGTTTCGGCTCCTTAATGGAGCGCATTTTTGCGCCAGCGGTCCTGTTCCAACGTGAACGAAGCGCAAAAGTACAACCTCTCAAAAGTGCACTAAGGGCACTTTCTTCTCTTATAAGGAAACAGGAAGGAATTTTGTTCCTCTATAAGTAAACTGCAGAAGCTACCGCAGTTAGTCCTTGCCGGTAAGTCTTAAAATATGCGGTACTCGCTGTGTCATCAAAAGCAAGGAAAACGTTCGAAGGCCAATCTTCTAAGCAAGAAAGTGTAGCCATTATTTCTATAATTATCTTTTAGTTCCGTACACTCTGTAAAGTGGTAAATATCAAGTTTTGAAATTTCTTTTACAAAGGATGTATACAAGTATGCCTGGACAATAGAATTACATATAAGGATTGTCTGAAATTACGAGGCTCTATCTAAAACGGGCTGTATAAATACCCGCCTTTACGCAGCAATCTAAACATTTGGTCAAATGTGGATTTCGCAGGTCGGTTTTACTTGGTAAGATTAAAAGGTGTAGCTCTTTTTCTCTAAAAATAGGGTCACCAAATTGCCAGGGTCAACGGCGGACAAAGACGCAGACAGCCGAGTCGAATTACGGGGCGCGTTCGGCGCGCGTATTGATAGATGACATCGGTAGCAGCTACGGACGGTGTAGCCGACGAGCGAAAGGTGTGGCCTACCGTCGGCATTCGCATTTATTCTTAAATTAAAGCTACATTATGAAAAGTCGTGTTCATTTTAATAGACCACGGTCGATATGGGCAGTTACAATGAGGAGGCAGCTCCATCTACCAATACGTGCGGCAAATGTGCCCCACAACTCGACTCAGTCATCTGCATCGCCGTCCGCCGTTGACGCTGGCAAGTTTTTTCACTCTATTTTTTTACGGAGTGAGAGGTATTGTTTGTAGTTTTACAAGATGAAAACGACCTGCCTATACAGCTTTCACGAAAAGTTTAAATTGCTATGTGAAGGCACCGATTTTCACGGCCTTTTTAGATCGGGGCCTCGTGATTTCAAACCCAATCTATATATATATATGTCACGAATGACAGACTAATCAGGAGGAAAGGAAATGAAATAAAGATTCAGTGGGGGCGAACGTGTACCAGAAACGGGAAAGAGAAGAAAAGAAGACGCCGAGAAAGCAGTAGCGAGCGTCGAAGGCGGCAGAGGCAAGCGACAGTACGTCGGCGTAACAGCTGGCTATCGCGACAAAGACTCAGTCAATCCATCGGCGATACGACGCTGGGCTCTTCATCTATTATGCTTTGTCATCTCGAATATTCTACCTAGAATGTTCGGTAAAGAGCTGGGGTGAGACTGACTAGACAAGGTAACTCTGGCCTCCTTATCGTTTACGCTCGGTGTATCAGTGTACGCGAATCGTCTAGGCGAATGGAGAAGCGTATCTTCTCGATCATGCACGCAGCAATTACCCCCCCCCCCCCTTTTTTTAAGCGCGTCGCATTGATGCAACAGAAAACAAAACAAAATGGTAAGCAAAAAAGTCTAACGATCTGAACCACTTCGGGTCGGGGCCGGCGTAGCGATAATGTTTGCATTCCGTCGGGCCCCACCTCCTAGTTGAGCTCCCCGAGGTGACGAAGTACCTTGCACAGTCCGAAGCACCGTTTGAACAGTTTTTCGCTGAGGCCATGGCGGCAAATGGGTGTCGACATTCACCTTGTCCCCGGGGTGGAAGTGAACGTCCCGACGACCAAGATTTTAGCGGCCAGCGTCGACACGCTGCTGGTTTTGAATTCGGAGTCGGGCGAGCTGGCGGACATGTTCGGCCCGACGAGCAACCACCTGAGTGTCGTCGCTTCAACCATCCCTTTTTCGTGCGGCGGCATCGCGTCTATACTCCGCGACAACTTTTCTTGGCGATGCAGTGGAAGGTACAGGCCCGCGTTCCCTCTCCCATTTTGAGTGTACGCAGGCTCTCCTCCTCTCCCCATTTCCGGGGAGAGGAGGAGAGCCCGCGCACACTCAAAATGGGAGAGGGGACGCGGGCCTGTGCCTTCCACTTCATTGCCAAGAAAAGTTGTCGCGGAGTATAGTATGTACGTTATTTTCCGACCATGTACCAGCTGGAGAGGCTTAACTCCAGTGGTCTCTTGAACAGCTGTGTTGTAGGCAAACGTGTCGTAGGGTAAGACCACGTCCCACGTCTTGTCCTCTATGTCGACGTATATAGGATCATGTCGGCGACGGTCTTGTTTAGCCGTTCCGTCAGCCCGTTCGTCTGTGGATGGTACACCGTCGTTCGATGATTACTGGGGTGGATGAGCCAAAGGTTCTCCTGACTTAGATGTGCCGAAAATGACGACCCTCGCTCCGTAATCAGTACTTCGGAAGCACCGTGCCTGAGAACGGTGGCCTCGACGAAGAACTTGGCTACTTCCCCAGCGGTTCCCGACGGGAGCGCTTTTGTCTCGGCGTACATTGTGAGGTAATCGGTCACGACGATGATCCACAGGCTTCCTTTCGTGGATGGCGGAAACTTGTCCAAGCAAGTTTATTCCGACCTGGTAGAACGAAGTAGTCGGGAGAGTGATCGACTGCAACTGTCCTGCCGGCTTCGTCGGTGTTTTTTTTTTTTTTTTTTGCATCGTTCGCATTTGCGGCACGATCGGACATAGAGGTAGCAAGCTTTCGGGAGCTTCGGTCAGTATAATTATTCCCGAATCCATGCAACTGTTCCAATGCAGCCCAAGTTCCCCGCCGCCGGATAATCGTGGCATGCTTGGAAGACTTCCGCTCCAAGACTCGCAGATATAACCAGCAGCGACGTCGAGTTGGTGCCGCTGACCTTGTCTTTGTACAGCATACTTTCTCGAAGGGCAAAGGTTGTCAGGGGTCCTGCGAAGACGCGTGAAACTGTACTCCCTCGTCCCTCCAGATGCTCGATGAGTGCACGAAGCTCAAGATCGTCTTTATGAAGTGCTGCGATGTTGCTCATGGTCACCGCGCCGACAAAAACGTCGTCGTCATCGTTGTCGCCGGTACGCTCAGAGTCGAACTCGACTGGTGCTCTCGACCAACAATCGGCACACTGTGCTTGCGGATGAACTTGTAGATCACACTCACGTGGAATTCATA